GCACCAGCTGCATCGGATGTTAACGCCGAAACATTTGCCGGCAATGTTGTAAAATACGGAGCGGAATCTGTAATATTCAACAAAAAAAAATTTTAAAAAAACTTTCAAATTGACGAAATGTTTTACGCGGCTCAGACAATCAAATATTTTATTTAATTCAAGTTTTATTGCATAAATATGTCTCTATCTCCCATGCACATATTTTGAGACGACAATGAAATTAACTAGTAAACATGGAGCGGTGATCTTTAGGTCAAGGTGCGTGTCTGTCAATCCAGGGATCATGGGTTCGAGTATGTTTCTTAATATGACACCAGTAATGGTTGGTTCGTAAGTGATTAATATAAGTTACAGGAACTTAAAACAATATGTTTAAAATACGCTGCGATTTTAAGAAATGTGATAAACCCAAATATGGAGCATGAAGTCAATGTTAAAGTTCATAATACATTCATGCAATTATTAAGTTTGATACATATTGGCAGATTTCAATAAAATGTTTAAAACTATATACATTTCTCATGAAATAATTGGTTTAATGTTGTGACGGCAATAATGTTTTACACCTACTACACTGTACAGCATATTATATCATAATCATAGTTAATAATACAACAAAGCTTCTCATTAGACATGTTATGATTGGTTTAAGTCTACAGTCACTACTAAATCATGCATAATACTTAATACACTAAGCACGTATTCTGTCTTATTCAACATGAGCTAATAGATTTAAGCGTGCAGTTACAATATCAAATTTCATTCAATACATTAAGTTTTACTTAATCATGCATAATACGTAGTCCACAAAACAGTATGAAATAATAGGTAATAAGAAGGCAATTACAACATCAAAATTTATACTTAATATATGATGATGTAATGCATAATAACTTAATATGCACAGCACATCTTCTTATTTAGCATGAGATAAAATGTTTAAGCGTAAAGTCATGACATAACTTTAACCTTAATAAAAAAGCAAAAGCAAAATATAATTTGTAAGAACATCAAGACAGTTTTCATTTTATATAAAAAATTTAAAAACATTTTGACATAAGAAAAGCTTAATCCATTGTTGTCTGGGTAATTTGCCAGTGGTGTTAATCAAAATGATGGCGAAAAGAATATATTTTGTAGTTGCAACTGCAATTACTTAAGAATAAGATTTATTTTCAGTATATCACATATGCACAAACACGGTTAAAGGCAATCATCATGCATATTTTTCATAACTCAAGATGATGCATACAAACATTTATGGACCATGTTATGAATATATATACCAAGGGTACACAAAAAGGGCAATTTCCAGCATGATTCTCATTTATTTCCATAATTGTGGCCCTTTTGAAGCAGTAACTATCAAAATACCGTTTCTCGTATCACAAAATTGGTGTACATCTATTATTCATTGTAATCTCATAATATTTAAATATAATTCATTACATAATTGTTATAATTACACTCTTACGAATTGTAAATAAATATTTTATGAACTTAACGCAAACAAGGTGAATTGTAACAACGTAATGTTCGACGTTTGGTGGAAGATATCATTCCGGCGATAGACCGTTTTAATGTTACCAGCAAAATCCTCTTAACTCAGAACAGTTGATTATATTCCCGGAAATCCAGATTTATTCTGATTGCTGAATCCAGGTTTTATATTATATATAAAATCAAAAACGTATTGTCACTAATTTGAATTCAGCAGTCAATTAGATTACGCCTTACATCTTGAGATTTATAAATATATATTGACCAATCAACTTAGTTTATTGGTGATGAATTAAAACAATATGTGTTCGATCATCCGCTACTTCCAACTAACAGCTATAAATATAATAATGTCGACAGATGTAAGTGCACTGGTGCTTAATAGGTATGTACGTTAAAGAAATAATGGTAATATGGCTTATTCCGTTTAATATAACAAAATATGCAAAATGGAAACCTACTTGCTCCTAGAGTCACACCAAAATGCCATTGCTGTCCATCTACGAGAGCAGTTGACCACGTGTTCTGCGCTCCAAGGTTGGTTTTTCCGGCACTGCTAACAATACCCATGGTATACGACGCGTCTGTCTCGAATCCGACAACATCAGGTCCAGTTGAAGACCTGAAATTAAAAAAAAACTCTGCTAACCAAGACCATATGTATAGCAAACGTTGGTTCTTCACGAATACAAATAGCCGGACGAAGGAATAATTTGAAAATATGATGACAGATAAAGAAATTTAAGAAAAAAATTACTGCTTACTTATGAATAACTAACTTATTTTATATTAGGACGGCTGGAGATCTAATTATAATCATATTAAAACATATGCTTCAACCGTGTCGTTTCTACCGTATGTCTGTGTCGTTTGTACCATTGATTAATACTAATAATCGACTGACTGTCTTTCATATATACATTTATTATGAAATATAATCTCTGTTTATTGAAAGTTTTTGATGAAAAGGAATATGGTTTCCATATGAAGTAATCACCAAAATGTGTCACTGTCATTGCAGTGATACGTATTTAATGAATGTTTGGTGCATATACCATATTAAGAACTTATAAGGTAATATACAGTCTGCCCAAAAATGATATACCTAGATAAATCTTTTGTTATTGTTGGCAAATATAATCTTGAATATGAAGGTCTTGTTACTATGTGTAGATGAATTTATTATAAAGATGTTTATTTGTCTCTAATATTACTTATATTAACTAGTCTCAAAATATTTGTTTTTCAATTTGTGAAAATCAAACAAACGATTTTCATCAATACATTGTCTGTCGCTCTGTAAGCATAAATAAAATTGTAAATAATGAATAACTTGTTGATTTAAATAAATATCGAATAAAATTCGTGGAGGAAATTTGGTTTATGTCGTAGATGTCCTTATTCAAGGCCCCCATGCTACATAGGACAGTAGCACTTTAAAGAAAGAAAACATTCGAAAGTAAATTGATATAGATCCAATTGCAAGTTGCGTGAATATGTATACAAACATGAACAGCATGAAGCATTGCACAATATTTAAAAACAAATTACAATATATAACAATGTTTGAAGATCAAATATTGATTTCACAGCATGTTGAAAGATAAAAATTTTGCCATACCTATGTTAATTAGAACGGTACAAAATCATATAGATTTTGTTATGATATAGATTGATTGATTAATTGGTTTGTGTCATTGATTGATTGGTGTGATTTGATTGGTGTGATTTGATTGATTGATTGATTGATTGATTGATTGATTGATTGATTGATTGATTGATTGATTGATTGATTGATTGATTGATTGAACAGCTCTACACATTCATATTTATTCGCGTGTGTGCTTGAATTGGTCATTTTATGGTATGAGGAACCGTTACATAGCAACACAGTATGATACAGAAATGTATAAAGTATGCCTACCATCCGAACAAGTATCCCTGCTGAACAGATATAGGAGCAGCTGGAGCTGCACTAGGCGAGGAACCAGCAGTTACTCCTGGAAGTATAAAAAAGCTAAAAATAGATTCTTACATGTCACTACCACATTCGTTAAAGCAATTTTTTTTCGTTATACTCGTCATCAACATCAGCATCACAATCATAATTCTCATTATTATTACTTTGAAAAGTATTGCTATTATTATAGTTATCATCATCATCATCATCATCATCATCATCATCATCATCATCATCATCATCATCATCTTCTTCTTCTTCTTCTTCTTCTTCTTCTTCTTCTTCTTCTTCTTCATAATCTTCTTCATCATCATCATCATCATCAACATCATCATCATCATCATCATTATTTTATTTTTTATCATCATCGATAGTTTATCATTATTATCACCATTATAATTATCATAATTATTATAGTTATTAGTAATCATTATTTTATTCATAAATTTTATTGTTTAAGGGGGTGGCTTTTTTTTATTTTCTTATGACAATCTTTTTAAATAGTTATAATTATTTTATTACTTTCATAATTATTTAAAAAAACAAGAGCATGTAAATATTACCGGAGAATAAAGTTTCTCCCACGACTTCATACGTGTCTCCACCAACCGGTTTCCATATCTGAGCAGTGACGTCACCGCTGGCTGCCGCGCCGAAACTGAAACCGGAAACCACCCCACAGCACGGTATAGCCATACTGTCGCCACGGAGAAGATATGACGTTCCTTCAATACAAAAAAAATCTCATAAGTTGTCAACTCCGACGCTTTATAAGTTTTCATTAACATGATTAATGAGTGCCATTTTTTTCATCCGCTTTATATAGATTTATTGAGTTTTAGGCCTATTTTGGCAGTGTTTGAACAATATGGCGTCGTTAAAGCAGTTTATGGAGTAATACCAAAGCCATCACAGCACCAATACCAGAATCATCTCTAACATCATCATAATTTACATATACATCATCAACAACACCATAATAATCATTAAAGTGATCTGGTCTATGATCATCATTGTCATTATCATCATTTTATCATTAACATCAACATATTCATCACGAACAGCATCAATATTACAGCCATCATCATCATCCTCATCATTATCACAATTAACATCGTCACCATCGCCATTTTAATCATTACCACAAGCAACACCATCATTATCATTATCATCATCACCATATAATCATTACACAATCATTATCACCACCATCATCATCATCAATACCACAAGCATCATCATCATAATCATCACCAACATCACCATTATAATTATTCCCACAAACATCATCATCACTACCACCACTATCATCATCATCATTATAATTATCATCATCATTTAAACCACTGTTATCATCATGTTCATCACCACCATCATTGTCATTGATATCATCACTATAATGATATCACAATCATCATTATAGACACTATTGTCCTCGATGAAATTACAATTGTTATCATCATTTTTACTTTGACAAAGATCATAATCGTACAATCATTATGATAATTATCATTATAACTATGATGATGATGGTCACCAACTATAATCAACTTTATTATCATAATTACATGTATATGTAAAAAAATAACTCTTTTTTTATTTCATATAAAAACAGTAGCATAATCATGGTTACTATCTTATTTCGTCATCATATCATCATAAGCATCGTCATAATCATCATCATCATCATCATCATCATCGTCGTCATAACAATAATCATAACATAACATTTAATCATAACAATAATAATTATTATTATTAACATTTACGGCATCGAAATTCAATGCTATAGGAATGTACGAGTACCTTACAGACATTCAATTTTACAAAACGTTTATCTTATAACGGGTTCGACAAATCAAATGATATGCCTCTCTATTGAAAATGATGTTTTAAAAGTACAAGTGTTCGTCTGATAACCATCTTTACACTATTGAATTTTTCTTTTTTGATCTCTTCTATAGAGTATACTTTCCACCTTTTCTCTCTTATATATATACAATATCATAAAAAAGCTTTATTGTACCGGTATTGTTGAGTAAACGTTCAATATTTCAATACATATATAAACATTAATGTACCTTCATTGTTGGCGTAATGTGTTCAGATTAGATAAAATGCAGTTTTTTGAAAAATTCTTAATGTATAATTTCAATATTAAGGCATGACCGAATTGTTTGATCGAGTTTAAATCAAATATGGTAGTTTAACGAAACTACGAGTACTGGCTTTCTTTTCTTTATCATTCAATCAAATATGATGTCAAGCTCACTGGCTAAAAAACCCGTTGATTGTATGGATATGTAAATATTATAAGGTTATTGTATATTGTTGAGTACAATACTGAATTCTATTGGACGAGTACACAACTTTCAAACCTATATTGTACGAGACGCTAGCCGAGTCTGATATATATTTGCAGCTGTGTACCAGTCCAATAGAATCAGTATTGTTCTCAACCGTGTATATTAACATCTTTATTTCACATTTCTAAAACGTTAGCTTCAAATACTATATTGAACTGAATCAGATGTGAATTGTTGAACCTGAAAGTGAAAATGAGAGAGACTAGATTGAGTACATTTAACTTAAATGATAATGGATATAAATGAATACCGTTTGCAAGCAATGTTTCAAAACACCCCTATCTTTAAGTGGTCTTGTTTAAAATAGCACTACATATTATTTATAAACAACACATAGAAGTTAAATGTACAAAAATCACATACCTGAATTAGACCCGGCCGTAGTTGCTGCGCCATTTGGTGCCGCCTCCCCCAAAGTTTGTCCGGTACAGCTTGGTCCCTGGCCTTTGTACAACAACAACAATTACATGAGTTAACATAATCCTTTAGAGGAATTAAATATCTTACTTTTTTCGATGATGAATTGCAAGGTGGTTTTTTTTGTTTTGTTTTTATTATTATTATCATAAATTTTTCTCAGTGTGGGTTGGTGTCTTTTTGATGATGATGAAAGAACTTCTTTTCGCCATCATCAATGACATCAAATAATCATCAAATCATCATCATCATCATTTCCGTCATCATAATCTCTACTATAACTTTATGTTATTCATTTTTCAAGATTTGATTCTCGTTTCAAAAGCTTATACACAGAATTCTTTACAAATTTTCTAATCTACACGTATATATTTCGTACATGCCAAAATAAATGATAAATATGCGTTTTTTTTTATTTATTTATTTATTTATTATTCCTTCATTCATGAGGTTTGGAATTTATGAGGTTTGGAATTTAGATTAGTTAAAAGAAAATAAAAGAAAAATTCTACGAAATTTGGATTTCTTTTGTCACAAAATTAGCATTTTAGTACTAGTAATTTACCAATTACATGAAATAATGAAATTAATTATATTTAATTCAATGACTTACCTTGGATAAAAACAACTACATTGATGAATATGATGGTTAAGCTAAGACTTGTTTTTTGGCACATTTTCTCCAACATCTCCAAACAGTTTTTGTACTTAATTCCGATTTTTGTTCACATTCTTACCTCGCGCACAATAACCTTTGTTTCACATAATGTAAATAGCATTTATCACATGTTTATATTTTATTTCAGAAAGATGTGTTGTTTAAATTTTCTTTAAACGTATGTACTCTTAAAAACAAGTTCAATAGACTCGTCAAAACAGAAACATCAAAAATATGTTTTTTATAAAGAGATATACCCGATACACGAAACTTTCTACTTCCTAATTAATTGAATATTAAAAATTTGTTTAGAAGAAGAAAAAGAAGAAGAAGAAGATAAAATGAATATAAAAATGATGTTGTTGATGATGATGATGAAAAAGAAGAACAGTAAGGAGAAGAAGAAGAAAAAGAAGTTGTAGAAGAAGATAATGATAACGATGATGATGATGATTATGATGATAATGATGATGATGACGATGAAAAAGGAGAACAGGGTGGAGAAGATGAAGGAGAAGAAGAAGATGATGATGATTATGATTATGATGAAAAGGAGGAGAAGAAGAAGAGGAGAAAGAAGAAGAAGATGAAGAATAATAAGAAGAATAAAAGAGGAAATAAATAAAGGTATAGAGACTTCAGCGTCTGCGACTCATTTTACAATTAAGGTAAAACTTAATGTCGTGTTGTATGGCAATTCGTAGTAATTCTAACGTTTATCAATTGAAAATTGTCGTAAACACGACGGTGCCTTGTGGCAGCACTGCTGACTTGAATCCTGAAACAAAGAATTTAGATTTCTTTCATAGACCAACCAGGGCACTGTAAACGAAACGACATGCAAACGATTATATAAAATATACTCATTGTTAAGTTGAATATCCTATATTTGTGCGATTTTTAACGCTTTTCATTGATGGTTATTGTTCCACTAATAAATCATTACTTTGGGCAATTGAACTGACACACAAATTATTGGTCCAGACTTGCCTAAACTGGTATATTCTTCTTATAAGACAGCAGTGTAAAGGTCATACGCCGACATTAGAGCGTGATTGTTTTCTTGGTGAAGGTAGACCTTCATGTTGCAACCCCACCCCCACCTCAACAATCCGTACGTCATTTCAGGGGGACAGGGGATGTTCGGTCAATTACCTTCAATTAGGTCCCTGTTTTCAAGAACTAAATATGTTTATTTATGTTTTAATGGTAATTGGTATCTGTTGTTATAAAACGTAATTTAAAGCAAACTTTATAAATAATATAAACTATTAAATGTCTATATACTTGTAACAGTGATTTCTTTAAACAATTGAACTCAAGATGAATATCATCAAAATTATTTTTACAACCTTCTAAACCATGACATAAAAGAGATCACTAGGCAAGAAAAAGTTATCGCATGTAAAAGTTAAATTTCGGTCGTACACCTTTAACTTAATGCGTCAATGCAATTGAGTCTAATTAATTTACCGTAAGTTTTATCCATTTAACCCGCATGTTTACTTCTTTATATTGATAAAAGAAATAAATAAATACTTTTCATAAACATTTCGCATCGCATCGATCCATCCGTCAAATAGTGATAAACAAACAAGATCGATAGCTTGCAAAGCCATGATAGTGATTTGCATTATTTATTTATTTACGATGTACATGAGTGTGGCGAATAAAAAAAAAGTTATAAATCTATAGACATCTATTAAGCTTTGAATATTACCATTTCTCTTTAAGGATAGCGAAGTATCAATATAATAATATACACCCTAAATGGTCACATGTCAAATCTAAATATCATTAATATATTATTGTGATAAATTTGAGACTTTCAAAACACTGTCATTGCAAAATCAAATTTAAAGTTTATATTCATTTTTATCTTATTTTGTTTCAATAAGATTCAATATAGATACGTCAAAGAAATACGTACGTTTATTTGAACCATAGTACGTATTTATGTAATTTTAAAAGCAAATTATGCGTGCGTCTGTTAGGGATTTAAAGCTAACGGGGAAATCATGACAAATTAATATTTTCATAGAAATAATGTACAGTAAAAAAAAGTCATCTGAACTGTAGAAATTCTAACCGAACGTCAATAAATTAATAAAATGATTTGAAAAGTTAGTGCATTGGCGGAGATAATATAACAGTTTGAAAAGAAAAATGAGTTTAATTAATATATATAAAGGGTGAAATTTACATAATTATATGTAAATACTGTACATATTAGCTATCGTGTATCGGACTTCCCTATAATAAGACATTTTAATTCAAATTTCTCAAAATACTCACTTATATTCATGTCAATTTTAGACAAATTGACATCAGTAAGCTCTCTTTTTGTATCACTCTAAGTTTTTCATAAGTAATATGATGAATAAAGGCATCTTTGCCAAAATTTTATTGTTAAAATTAATTTAGTGTGATTCAGACAAGATCATTTTTTACGGTGTCGATTACCCTGGTCACTTTTCGTTTCTTATTTAACGGCATAATAAAAACCGGGACAGGCTTCTGATCAAACAGAGCTATATGAGTCGTGTAACGACAAAACCAACATAGTGGGTTTGCGACCAGCATGGATCCAGACCAGCCTGCGCATCCGCGCAGTCTGATCAGGATCCATGCTGTTCGCTTACAAATCCTATAACAAATAGAGAAACTGATAGCGGACAGCATGGATCCTGATCAGACTGCGCGGATGCGCAGGCTGGTCTGGATCCATGCTGGTCGCAAACCCATTATAATGTTTTGTCATGACGCGGCTCATATTATATTTACGGTACGAAAAATCCAGAAAAATCCCAAATGTTAACACTCTTTTGAGAATGACATTTCTTCAAATAATCATTAAATCATTTATGAATAATTAACCACCGATGGTGTATCAACTACTTTTTTTACGAAGGAGCAAGCGTCCGTGGCCGAATACTTAAAGTCGTTGATTTTAAACCACTTGCCCCCTCGCCGCTATTGGTTCGAATCCCGATAGGGACATTGTTTTCTTTCATGTGAGAAAGCTATCCAGCTAGCTGACGGAACGCCGGTGATTCTACTTGGCTGTCCACTTCTGTCTGAAATAATACACAGATGAGCACCTGAGGTATTTCTCTATAAAGCTTGAAAGTCCCAATATGACCTCTACTGTAACGGTGCGACGTAAACACCAACCAGACTGATAAAGGATGATTTAAATTATAAATATTGATACCATCCTAAATATTTGTTTTGTAAATCATTACAACGAAATTTTCATACAATTTATTTCATTATTAAAATTTACAGCAGCCGTGTATATGAGTTATATTAACGTTTCAATAAACCAATGAGAATCGACGTTACAAACGGATGTTGTTACAAACTATTCATTGCTGTTTAAATTAAATTAGAGTTAATATATAATTTTGTGAAAAGTAACGTCAAGAAATCCCGTCAAATACATTAATCCACCATACTCTTCTAATATTTATGAAAAGGACTAAATCTAATACGAACTTTGATGGATGAACCACCTTAACTGTTATTAATCTCTTAATTTATAGTTTAAAGGTATACAAAAAGCTGATCAATTAATAAACAGCCTGCATTGAGCAAGCAGGGACACTGGATTATGTTACAGTATTCACGTTTCAGCAATTCATTACAACAATCAAAATAAAGGTTTCACTCATATTCAATAACTTTATTTAATAATACAATCCTTTTGAATTGCTAATAAATCTGGTGTGTGTGGGGTGGTGTCATGTTCCAATCTGAATTCCTCGGGGATTATGCTCCGTAATATGATATTATAAGGGAACAGCCGATGTCTTACGATTATTCACGATGTCTTACGATTATTCACGATGTTTTACGATTATTCACGATGTCTTACGATTATTCACGATGTTTTACGATTATTCACGATGTTTTACGATTATTCACGATGTCTTACGATTATTCACGATGTTTTACGATTATTCACGAACCTTTCACTGTTTAAAGTGGATTGGCCTACAACGTATGATAAGTACCAACGTAGAATCTTATCAAATACCTATGTCCACTGTAAGTTTCTTTTATTCTTGAAACGGACACGTGTTAATGACCAAATCCTTTATGAACTTTTGTGGATTTTTTTTAAATAATGCAAAACAATATAAAATAAGAATGTATAATTTGGATATTCAAGATTATAATGTATGCATTGGAAAAAAAACGTTGATGGAATTTCAAGTGATTTTGTATGAACATTTATACGATTTATGATAATATTTGCTCCAAGAACAATTTTATTATCTACTATAATGTATACATGTTGGCGTTACACTATAAGTGGTCATTGAAAAAGTGATTCTTTTCTAATTGTAAACAGTTATTATTTTGGAAATGTGATAAATAGAATATTATATTTGGCATATAGGTAACTTGTTCATCATTAAATTTATTGAATTGATGGATAAAATAATATTGTATCATAGTCTGGAGACCTTTCTGTTGAAAATGTGTCAGAGTTAAATCGTATACATATACATTGTACATGCACAGTGCGTTATTAGTTACCCGCACTCCAGGGCATGCCCATTGATTGGCTCATTTTTGCTGGGGTTTACTAATTGTGATGGTAGAGAAAGGGAAAGCGATAGAAATATCATATTCAGATGTTCGTTTATTGAATACTTTTTTCTAGGGTTTCATATTGTGACAACAGGGAAAGTGTTTTAATGTTTGACTATGACACAAAAGAGAAAGAACATCAAAACATCTGGTTAATACTCTGGGGGGGGGGGGGGGGGGGGCTACGCCCCCTCGTACAAATCAGAAAGCTTGTGGTTTGATGCTCTTCCTATTGCTTATGCTAGTATAATTTTACTCAACTTATTTTATCCAATATAAACCTATATTCATTTAATTACCTCTATTTCTCTCTATTTCTGTCATACTATAAGTGCCCAACAAATGTAAATAAACTTTAAAATTACTAACAAAATGATGTCATTTTTAACAGACTTGATAAGTTTAAACTTTATTTGGAACAGCCTGATTGTTACAAAACTTATTTCACTCCTAACCTAACCAGTGCTGGTTAAACCAGGGTCTTTCAAATAGAAATTTGAAAGATCCTGGTAGAACCAAAAGAAAATAACTCCAGTAATGCTTAAACATTCAATCCTTCTGGTTAAAGGAATACATCTTAAAATATTTGCCTGTATTCAAGACCACTTCATTTAATACATTTTCATTATGTATTTTTACTATACTTATAATATTTTTTACAAAGAAGTTCTATTCTAATCTTATAAAATTTATCATTATTTATTGTAATAAGTAACAGTTAAAAGAAAAAAACATATAGTACAAAAGTTAATAGTTCCAAACAAAACAATCAGCTAACAGCAAAAATAGAGCATTAATTGTTCTTGTTCAATTTTTCAAATATTAAATATAAAATTTCTTAAATAATAATCTATTTACTAACATAACTCTAAAGTTCAAAGTCTGCATCATCCAATTCTCCTGTAGTAAATACAGGGGCAACATTTTCAGTTTCATCCAATTTACTAATGTTACCTACATCACCTCTCCTGTCACCTTTTTTATAACTTAAACTATTCTCATTAAACTCCTGTCCAACTTTAAGTTTAGCTACAGAACCTTGAGTGTAAGTCTTCTTTTTATTATCAACGCTAAACTTGTCCTCACACTCGGTGCCAATTATTGCTTCCCGTTTCGATTTTTTGCCACTTAAAAGGGAGTTTTCTTTCTCAGCATCTTTGGGACTTTCACCAGTTTGCCGATCATATGCAACTTTAACATTATGATCTGGTCCAAAATGATATGTCCTTTTAGATGATTTATTATGCCCTTGATCACGTTGATGGTCAACACTGTGTGTAAGTTTCTTATAGTTGTTTAAACCAGTACATTTATTGGAGGTTCCAGCTTCAGAATGGTTTGCAGTATTTTCAGTGGCTAGAAATCCAGACCATTTGGAAGAATTATGCAATGGTTTATCTGCACAACTCTTGAATTTGCCATCAGGTTTTGTTAGACTTGTGTCACTTACTTCCTGGTTCAACTCATATAAATTATCATATGCTTCTTCTAGCTTGACTGGTACCGTTTCATTTGGGTTTTCAATTTCTTCTGGGTCAAAGGTCAAATAAGGTCTTGAATCGTACAATTCGTCAGGTGGTATTTGAGAGGAGTCTGTTTCATCATCATGTGAAGATATATCATTCTCAGCAAACATTCCCCATTTTGAATTCACTGCTGTATTACTATTTTTATTTCTATTATCACCATGAGCTTTATTTCTATCAGAGGTAGAAGGGTGATCACTAGTGTTGGTAATATTTTCAGCACAAACAGTCACAGTTGTCTCCCTTTCCGTGAAGGAAGAAGAATTATTAACTAAATAATTGGATCCTTCTTTCCTGGCATATTCATTTTGAAATGTGTTAAATTTGTCCGGTAAATTATATCTGTACTCAATTTCCCTTCCACTAAACATGGACCTGTTTTCATACTTTTCTAAAAGAGAATCTTCAGCTGCTATCCTGTCCATATCAGAATTTTGGTAATCACTTGGGTCATCATCATCAATAAAATTTGTGAATTTTCCCCTCTTATTGTTCAGTTTCTGACCAAGATCAGGATTCTTCTCCCTGGAAGAAACAAAAATGGTATGTAAAACAACACCGAGCTTGTTCTCCCTCGTGAGGTAAAAATATGGTATTTTAAACTGCTATATTAATACAAATAATGACCAAATTATAAAAATAAAACAAATATATTTGTTTGTTTGTTTGATTGATTGGGTTTTACGTCACGCCGACACAGTATAGGTCATTTGGCGACGTTCCAGCTTTACTGGTGGATGAAGACCTCAGGTGCCCTTCCGTGCATTATTTCAGGCACGAATGGGTACCTGAGTAGAACCACCGACGTTCCTTAAGCTAGCTGGATAGCTTCCTCACATGTGAGAATCAAAAGTCCCTGTCGGGATTCAAACCCACAGAGGTGAGGGGCAAGTGGTATAAGTGTACAGATGTATATGATTGTTATTTGTAAGATAAACATATACATATAATTACATGTTCACTGTTTCATAGTGTTTTTCATCATTATTAACGTTTTGGCAGATCCCAACCGATTTTTTAAGATGTAAGTAAAGAAGTTATATGACAGGGCCTTTTTCCAGTCATTTTGGGAAAAGGGCATAATTTGAAGAAAAAAATCAACATTTTGGAAAATTTGAGCAATTTAAAAAGTTGAAAATCTACCTCATACATGACTTTAACAAGTATTTAACAAATGTATGGTCATATAACCTGTCACTTTTCAAGAAATAAGTCAAAACAGTTCAGTTTTCCTACAAAGTTGAAACAGTTTCATTTTTGTGGTGCTGTTGCTAGGATTTTTTTTTGAAATTGGGAAAATGAGGCTATTTGGATTGGGAATGGGGCCTTATTTTGGCTTTTGATTATAATTTGAAAATGCCCAGTGATGAAAAAATAGAACCTAATGAAAAATCATTGTTCTAAAGTCATACTCAACAGTCCATATTTTATTTAGCTTAGCATGAATATAAAAAAAAAACTTCTGTAAACCTTTTCCTTTTCCCAGCTTGCTTGATTGTTTGTGCATCAGTGGTGAATCTACCTTCATCATCATCATCATTTACAGTGTTACTGCTATTCTCCTCTACAAACATTGTCCATTTTGTTCCCTGGAATTTTTAATGATACAAGATCATTAACAATATTGAACAATTCCATAAAGCATTAAAATGACATTATGCCCATTTTTAGCTCCCAAATTGAGCTGAATAAATAAAACATTTCAAAAGATTCACTTTTACAATGGAGAATGGCCAATAATTGATAATTAAAAATGTTTAGGATAAAATTTACCTGTAAACAATCTTAAATTAGACAAAAAATGCCCTCTTTTTTTTTAAAAAGTGAATGCTACCGATACATTCTAAATGATATTGATAGAAATTTCTGTGGGCTAGGTTGATTATTGATTATTTTTGAATAATAAAATGTAAAATTGAACACAATTATGGCAAAATGTCAAGTTTGACTTTTACCTATGAAACTGTACTGGCAGATCATTTACACTTTGTCACTTAGTTTAATTAATTGTAAATCACCAAAGATTAAGCAATCAAACAAATGGCTAGGGAGTTCAAATCAACAATGAGATATATATACACATATTAGTCATAAAGATTCATATGGAAACAGCATGTAGAATGAACAAATAATCACAGATCATAACAAAACACCACTTGTCAAACATTCAAATAAATGAATCACCAACATGTACTTACAAGGGTGACATTGTCACAAAATATGCCCGTCACACAAGCTTTAGGTGGAGATGTGTGGTAAGCAAGTTGGTCACTACACATATTTTCTTATTTTTTATCTGAAATTATACCACTATGTGTGACTTTAACCTTGGTTGCAGGGACCTGAATTTTATGCCCGACACTCAGCCTTACAATGATGTAAAAGAGAAATTACTTTGGAATGGGGCCTTTAATCGGTCCTTGGTGATGGATGAAAATGCTCTGACTCATTCCAGTTTTGAATTTATTCTACTATATACAGTTGACTCTCAATAAGTCAAAATCGCTTTACTCAAAATTCCGCCTTAGTCGAATAATTTCTAAAGTCCCGTCAAATTTCCTTCTTTATCTTTGTATTTTAACTCCGCTTAGGTCAAATTTTGACTTACCGAGACTCCTGTTTAGTCGAAAAGAAAATTTGGTCCCATCAATTAAAGTCCACATATTTTCATCTCAATTAGTCGAAGTGTGAAAACAGCCGACTGATCAAAGGTCGGCGACATCAAGGTGAGATGTTGTCACTCGTGATTTACACGTTTCATAGTAATTTTTAATTGCCGGTCATCATGTATTATTAACACGTCGTAAAAGTGTCTTTAATCCGTTTCGAGACTTAATTGGTTTTAACAGTTAGATAACTAAATTAAAATTTAATTACATTTCTTTAAAAAAGTTGACTCGTGCCAGTCTGACGGGTGTTAGTCAAATAACAGCCTAGTCAAATAACAGCCTAGGTATTGATGTGTTAACAACGTAAATGATATTTGTATAATTAATGTTCCGTTATATTGCATACATTAATTTGTACTTCCGGTTCACGATAGTTGCTAATTTCGTTTTCTTCCGATGATCAATTAAATCAAATATAATTGTGTGGTTATGTTTCACTATTAATATACATGTATTAAATTTTGAATGATATATTTTTGTTCATTTATAATTTGTAGTTGAAAGTGATTTACCGTCATTTCAATGGTTAAATATTGCAGCATTGCCGCTAACAACAATAAGAAACCTACTTCTTTGCACATTCAATCAGGTACATGTATATACATGTACGAAGTCAACGTAATGGCGGTAGTTCCACGTTACTCGAATTCCGTTTCTCTCGAAGTAAAATACCTAGTCCCTTGGATTTCGAGTTACCGAGAGTCAACTGTATTTAACTACATTTTCTTAAAATTACACTTACCCTTACTAATTTTCACTGGCCATTGGCCACCAGGCCATTGCTAAATTTGATGACTGATTTAAGTTTGATAAAATGTTTATACTTACTTTATTTTGCTGAGAAAATTCTTCAGCTTGATCATAGTCATGAAAGTTTTGACTTCCTCTATATATCTGTTTGTTTTCGTTATCATGGGGATCTGTTCTATCATATAATGATGGTACCCTTTCTGTTTGTTGGTCAAGGTCAGCTCTTAATGTGTTCAGTCTCTGAACATGTTGTCTACACTCGACACCGGTTCCTCTACCGTAAACCTGAAATATATTTTATAAAGGTATAAAACTATATCTTATGAAATATTTTCATAAAAATATTTTCATAAAAATTCATCAATGGTACAATTATATTGTTTCCATAATCTAATATGATTGATTATTGTAAAAATTGATAAAATGTCTCTGTTATTTAACACACATGAATATAATAAAACATTCAGGGACATAATATTATTAGAACTGATATTTAAAGTAGGATATTTTTATCCATATAGTGATGATTTCGTACATGCAACATTCACTTTTATACAAGCATTTTGGAAGCGTTTTTTTTTCAAAATTCAAACAATTACTTAACATAACTATAACATAGCTTAACATAAAATAGTTCATCATAGAACTAATTAACCTATTAATAGCATTCAGCAACAATGGTATGGAACAAACCTGAACTATTATCAAACACACACACAATCTACATTTTGTGCAATACATCTCTAGAATTCACAATGCTAATAGATGGGTCATATTCCCAAATATTGAAGTAAAAATCCACCAATGTGACTTGAAAATATTTGTCAGTTCTTTTGATTTTTGAAAGTTACTTTGTGGTTTTCACTTACGACAGTTCTTGTTCTCAATATTTTTAAATAAAATGTTAAGCATTTATTAAAGGGTCTGTTGTAAATTGAGAAAGAAGTTATCTAGTAAAACCTTTTTCAATGACTGTTTTTCTCCACACATCTTGCAGGCCCATTTTGTTGTTTTCTTCACTTGATGAACTTGAAATGTCTGACAACTATAACACTGTACAACATGGAACTCCTGAGGCATTTTTATCATCTCATGTATGCCAAAGCATTTTATCTGAAAGAGAAACTCAAAATTAACAATAGATTCTAGTTTTTAAAACATACATAAATATATCCTAATTAATTCAGCATAAACAGTTTAACCCATAATACAGATTTTTTTCCATAGTGTTGGAAAAAAAGACATCGGCAATTGCCCATCCAAAAATTTCTTTGTGTGTCTTTTTCTCTGAGTCAAAGTCAAACAAGTGTAGTTAGTTACCTTAATTAAAATAAACACAAATACATGATTCACTAAATATCAATATTATAATTTAATATATAGATACTTTTAATATGAAATAACAATTTGATGTGTAGGCAGTGTTTTTTTTCACCAAAATATTCGGCGAAATTCTCCCCATTCCCCACCCAAAATAGTATGTTTTTTTCCCCCCTCAAAGCTGAAATTTCCCCCTATAATATGGCAGCCCAAGTTTGCCTGCAATAAATATCATTTTTTTGCAACTAACTGCCGAAAAATGCTTTATTTTATGCCTGTAAGACTTACTGTTAAGCAAGGTTTTTCATATAGGTAAGGGGAGCTACTCCTGGTATCCCAACAAGTTTATCATGTGACACATCAATATTTTAGATCCGTATAAAAATCCCCCTCCTATTGCATTTTTCCCCCTCCAATGGGCACCGACCCCCTTCCCCCAAAAGTGAAAAAAAAACACTGGTAGGTTATACCAGAGCTTCAGTATCTTTTACTAAAAACTATCAACCTGGATACACTGAGAAGAGAGCAAGGTGCTAGTCGCATTAATTTGACCTAAAATATGTTTAATCTAATTATATTGGTATTCATGTAATCTTACATCCATACTATGATTTGATTTTCTTTGGACCGGGCAGTCAAGGATAACCTACGAAAGTGCAAGCACTTATTTCCAGTGGGGTCCTTACCTAAGCAGACTCTAGAGACAGCTATGAGATACAAGGGAATCCGGGAACCCTAGCTCTTATTGAATAGATTCCTTGGTTCTTTTACATGCCCAGTGTATAGCACTGATACATGCGAGGATAACCTGGATTTCTTACCAGTACACCTCTAGTAAGGTGGGTAACACTGAAAGTGTTTCTGAAAAATCCCAAGGGTGTTACCCAGGATCGAACCCAGAACCTCAGGAGTGACAGTCAGTGGTCTTACCAACTGAGCTATCACGACATCCGAGTACGAAAATTATGGGTATGCCTGTTCTTGGTGTTAAAATTTTCCACGTTGGATTTGTGCATGGATGATGGAATCAATGCAATATATATTTTGCATACACCAACATTGAGCTGAACGGATTACCATGCACCTGTTGCGGAAGAAAACTTTAGATTGAGGAATACATCCATTGACACATAAATAACCGAGGTATATCGAGTGAAAAAATATGAGTTGTTTCCCTTATCTTCAAGTAAAATCAATATCTCTAATTAATGCTAAAACAATACAAATTTAGCCAATTTTACTGTTAGTGTGGGGCGATTAAATGTCCAATTTTTAAATCTATCACACCAATGAAAAGCTTGTGATATTATTAGCTTGTCTCAGTATATAATTCAACACATCATTTGACAGTATCTAAATTTACGGTTAAACAAGACAGACCGTTTCACATTCAATTTATGCTGTGAGATACGCAACTGTTTAATCTTTAATTCTTCTGATAAGAATAGCCTGTCATCAGATATCTAGTTGGAAACTGTCAATCGGAGTATTTAAAAGTTACATACATGTAGAATCTTTCTTAAAATACAGGCAAATAGGATTTTTTAATATATGGATATAAAATTACATGAATAACCAGACTTATCATATATTAGATCAAATCAATGCGACTAGCATCTTTGAGAAGAGGCAGAAATACAGAAGTATCTGGACTTGTCTTAAATGCCATATCCGAAGACTACTGCACTACAAATATACCGCATATTGTTACATAGTCCAAATATATTTTCAATTTTTCATTACCAAAAAAAAGCGATGTGTTTTTACACAGGAAAGGATAAAAATCTTTAACAGGTAATTAGATAAATCTAAGGATATTATGAGATATATTATAATCTACCGCCTTCTTTCAAAATTATACATTTTCACGTTACAGCGATAAAACGCTCACCGTTTCAAGTAGGTGGCATGAGACTAAATGTGTCGTTTTGGTTACTTACCACAAAATTATTTTTCTCCTTCAACAAAATCAGGGTAGACGCTGAAATGCAAATCCATCTGACTAAAGTTTATATCTTCTTATGTTTACTGTCAGACTGTACTATGTAAATAAATCATTGCGGAATATAGAATTTCATTTAATCACCCTATTCACAGGCATCATTAAATCATGGAACATTTATCCGTCTAAAAGTAATTGCTTAGTTTAGCCACAATATAAATAATATGAAAAAGGCAAAGCCTCAAAGCGAGCTCGATGTACTTTTTACATGAAATAGTATGAAGTAATCGCTCATTTTTATTTCAAATGCAGTGACAAGTGCGTGTGACGTCACACGTACTGGCTCCGCCCCTGTCGTGAAATGAATAACGAGTTTTGAAAACGTTTATAAAAATTTGTTTATTTTATTTCACTCTATAATTTTTCAAGCGAAATTAAGATTATTTAAAGTGAAATAAATGTAAAACTTAAAACGTTTGCAACAGTAGTATGGAAATGATTGCGAAGCGTTCCCTGAGCCTGAGCAGGATCGGGATCGGGGATTAGTTACGTAATCGATTAAGGATTAGTTACGTAATACAATAACAATACGATAACAATACAATAACAATACAATAACAATACAATTAAAATACAATTAACATACAATTACGAATACACAACTTATTTTTAATCACATTTGCTAATCCCATTTGAAAGGGAGATGATTATCCCTTAAAAAAATAAGTATAGCTTTAAAGTGCCATCAAAGATGGCGGAGTGTTTAATAAGCAAACAGTTCGGCCGAGATTGAATGGAGGCATTAGACGGTATGTATTGAAATGTTTTTTCAAGACACATCCAAACAACAATGACCAATTGAATATTATTAGTATTAACATTCACGCTAATATATTGTCTGTCTGCCGGGCAACAAACTAGTATATGGCTAGACTGAGGTTCAGGTTTTTCGCATATATCTAAAATGGACACTGTTGAGAACGGGAAAAGGTTAGGGGGTCGGATGCTGGACGAGGAAACCGATTTGCACGGCGACCTAACAGTGGATACACGCAGCTCTTCTAGTGCTTACGTAGTTTGTGGCGAGAGAGTGCCAAAGAACAAAGTGACGTTTATTGCTCAGATTATTGCAATATACATAATAATAATAGTTTCGGCGGTCAATCTTTCCATCGACGGGGGATCGAGGCAGGAACTGTGGATAGCGCTGCTTAGTTCCGCCGTTGGCTACGTGTTGCCAAGCCCCACTCTGAAGTTTAGGAGACCAAATCAAGCGGATGTGACAAGAGATGGGACTCAGTAACGAGGCCGTAACGGAAGCAAAGCAAGACTATTTGAAACGGATCTACACCGACCCCTCCCATCCCGCCAGTTTTAGTGGACCTGCGAGGTTGAAAAGGGAAGTCGACAGAGAGGGCAAATATGATATAAGCACTCGCGAAATAAGGACTTTTCTTGAATCTCAAGACACATATAGCACAAACAGACCCATCCATCGGCGTTTCAAAAGGAACAGAATCGTCGTGGGTGGGGTTCGCCAACAGTATGACATGGATCTATGTGATATGTCAAAACTGAGACGTTACCGTGGCAACCGAGGGACCAGCTTCCTCCTGGTGGTGATAGACGTCTTTAGCAGATTCGCATATGTCCGGCCATTGAAAAACAAAAGCGGAGAAGTTGTTTCCGATGCACTGAGAGAAATCCTAGTAGATGGAGGCAACCCGGTTCGCTGCAGATCAGACAGAGGTGCAGAGTTCAAGTCAAAAAACGTACAAGACCTGCTTCGCCGTCTCGGAATAAAACACTACTTTACAACTTCTGAATTGAAATGTCAACCTGTAGAGAGACTTAATCAGACTCTTAAAAGTGCGATCTACAAGTGGTGCTACGAGAACAAGTCATTCGCCTATATCACAGTTCTGGATGAACTAGTGAATGGCTATAATCACCGAGTGCATTCGGCACTCTTCGGTCTGAGTCCCAGCGAAGTCAACGAATCGAATCAGGCAAGACTTTGGAATCTAATGTACGTCGGCAGTGGGAAGGGTGCTAAGGGCGACAAAGGATCCGCGTATTTAAATACAACGTGGGGGATTTAGTAAGGATAAGTTTGGCCAAGAAAACTTTTGAGCGATCGTTCACTCAAAAGTTCACGGACAACATTTACAAAATTCGGGGGCGTGTCTACCGAGAAAACGTACCGGTCTACTTTTTCATGGATATAGAAGAAGAACCAATAAAACCGTCATTCTATGAGGCAGAACTGCAGCGTGTACAAAAAAACTTGGACGACCCGAGCCAATGGGAAATAGAGAAAATTATAAGAACGAGAAAGGTTGGACACAACCAGGAAGTTTTTGTTCGTTTTAGGGGTCTAGGAACAAAGTTTGACCCCTGGATATTAAAATCTTCAATAGGCTCTAAAACAACGTAACATAAAATAAGCTTTAGTCAGTTTTAAATGATGATGAATCAAGTTCACGCTGATGTTAGCAATACGGACTGCCTCGGTCTTTATCCTCTCAACAACGGTTCAGACTTTCACGTAGTGTTGGATGAAACATTGGTTCTAACGAGCGGGCATTGGCACGTAGCACTTGTAGGTTTAACAGCCGAAACTACGGAAGAGGGTTTGGAACTACGCGGCAAAGAACTGTACCTTTGCTCCAATATTGTAGATTATTCAGTGGTTGGTGGAAAAAAGTCAGTCTTTTAAGGAAGCTGTGTTTGGGAAATGGCATTAGAACGGCTGGGGGTGGTTGCGTGTTTTTTGTTGACACGTCAGATAACAATTGTTTCTACAAACGTGTTAATAGCAAGGAAATTAAACATATTCGGATATACGTAACTGACAGAAATGGGCAGAAGTTAGATGCTTTGAATGATTATTCAGTCGCAGTAACGCTCCATTTCAAATTGAAAACGTTGAAGTGAGTGGGTGGTGCTCCGATATAACTAACCAATCAAACGCGTCTAAAGACTACTCTTTGTTCATTGATTAGTGGACAAATGGACGTAATGTCTATTATTAATGCACTTACTGTTTAGATATCGAACACAATGGAAAACGCTTCACTCAAACGAAATCAACTATATGTACCAGACTTTAAAGCTTGGGAGCGATTCTACGAGAGAAAAGTTCCTTCAAACACGGCTAGCTCACAGAGGGAACAACCGTTCCATAGTAAACGGCCGGCAGAAGTAAAACTCCAGTTTGTTTCACCTGTGGAAGAGACTGTGGATCAAGCTGAGAGTGAAATCAGATCAAACGCTACAGAAACTAAATCTCATGTGAAAAAGCAAAAAGGCAACAAGGACTCTGGGGCGTTACCACGGCAACCAAATATTCAGGATATTATAAGAGCATCTTCATTACAGAAAAAAAACAACTAAGCAGCGGTCGCATAAAAACAAAGGCGCTTCTAAGGACAAAAAGAAGTTTAGTTACAGGACTTTAAACGACATATTTAGTGCGCCGAGGTAATAGAATCATGTCTGTTCTTTCGCCACTGAGTGACAATGAAAGTGCACCGGAAGCGTTAGACATTTTCAAGCTTTACCCTAACCAAGTTGCTATTCAGAACTTCTTTTTAGAGGACATCAGACCAGTAAGCCAGTTCACGGGAGTAGCCGCCCCGCTCGAGTTTGAAACATCACTTCAAGGGGACTCATACTGTGAACTTCCGTCGTGCAGGCTGTTTTTAAGGGTGCGAATTCTACATGCAGACGGCACACGATGTGATGATAACGTGAAAATATCACCCTGTGACGCTTTTTTCCACTCAATGTTTAAAAAAGTGGACGTGTACATGAACAGGACACTGGTTAGTTCCTCTGGCGATCTATATCCTTACAAAAGTTACTTTAACAAGTTGTTTAGGCGCGACCTGAGCAAGGGAAATGGGAAAAAATCAGACTGCGAGCTCTTTACAGGAAATGATGGAGGATTCCCAGCTGAAACAAACCCTAACGGAGGTTAGTATTGCATTTTACTTGCTACATTGTGCATGAGTAATGTCCCTTTAATGATCGTTTTATTGCAGTAAAAGCGCTTTTTTCGTCAGATCGCCAATTCTCATATAAAGGCGTACAGTCATTATCTAATAAAACTATTTTAATGATTAAAACTGTTAAATGCATGTTGTAGAGCACATAGAAAACCAATATATCGTTTATGTAATTGTTACAGTGGCATTCTACCTTTTTGTAATTGTCACGATTGTTAATTCTCACGAGGCACTGTTTTTATACAATGATGAAAAAGATTGCAATTTCTACGAAATTAACTTTATACAACTTGCAAAATTTGTATATATTTACATAATAAAACGTTGCCGCGATTTAAAAAAAAAAAGTGTCAAAACTTTGATTTTTATAGACTAGTCTACACGAAACTGTGGTGCTATTTTATGTTTTAGTGATAATTAATTCATTTAAGATACTAGTATACTTATTATTACACCATTTATTTTAGAGTATCTTTGTTATAACTAAGTTGCTACGTTGTTTTAACTGTTAACGATCATGTTTTTTGTCTACGTAAGGAAACTATGGACTGTTCAAGCGATACAATGTTAGTCGGGGATCGAGACCATTCGACCTGGTGGGATTACCATTAAATGATATCATGGAACTCGACCGTTATCTCATTAACGGTGTTCACCTTAGATTAGTTCTTCACCGGAACAATGTAGATTTCTGTCTGCTTAGTGGAGAAGATAATGCTCAGGGTGGATATCGTTTGAAAATTGAAGATGCATTTTTACGACTTATGAAAGTGAAAGTAAATCCTGCGATTTTGTTAGCGCACTCTAAGCTATTGAAGAATGTCACTGCTAAGTATCCGTATATTCGTTCAGAGACAAAATGTGCAAACATTGCCAGTGGCCAAAGTATTTTTACATGGGATCACATAAATGCTGGTTACCTGCCAAAGTTCGTGATTGTCACGTTTGTAGACAGTGCCGCTGTGTTGGGCTCGCTTAGGTTGAATCCGTTTAATATGGAACATTTTGATTTGCGACAAATCAGTCTTTACATCAACGGTGTAGCATGTTCTGGGAACCCAGTAAATGTCAGTTACGATGAGGATCTCACTGCAGAAGTTTTAGACCGAATATATGGTTTTCGGAAGTCCAGGCCCTTGTACACTGCCATGGGTGGTATAAGCAACAAGGAACGAGATTTGTGTGAGATAGGCAAGTCAGAACTCAAGAATGGATCTGCTATATATGTCTTTGACCTTTCACCTGTCGTAGACGAAGGTTTTCATTTTGAACTACTGAACAGTGGAACACTTTCACTGCAGGTGAAATTTGGTAGTTCCCTTGCTCAAAATGTTGCATGTATAGTCTACGCAGAATACGATGCCTTAATGGAAATAGACGACTCCCGTATTGTGAAGATTGTTTAAGAAAAAGCCCCCCACCCCCCACCTCTTTATATATATATGTTACAAAACTGTCTGTACATAAGCATATATGCTTCATTATGTAAATTGTAATTTGCCAATGACGAAGAACTATTATATTCAAGTCTATATTTGTAAATAAAATTCTGTTCTGTTCTGTCCATTATCCTACCTGTTCATGTATATGTATTTGTTTAACCATTTACACTATCTTAAAATAACACAAAGAAACTGGTTCGCTATTGTTTGTCAAACATCTAACAAACAAATATGACGTCACATTGCGTACTGTTGACTAGGTCACGACCTTTTCAAACGAGATGTTTATAAATATTACTTTAAAATACTATTTACTATTCCTTTCAATTTCAGATTATTTTACGTATTGTATATAATTATTAAGTCTATGTATAACGCCTCTGTACAAATAAATTAACCAAACTCTTAATATGCATTCTTGTGTTTTCACCTTCAACCAAACAGATTTGATATACACTGTATATAAAATATGCGAAATTGGAACATTCACACCTACATGGACGGAGTAAATCAAGTAGCCCTATTTATAATTACTGAAAACCGAAACTGTCTAGAATAATACTAAAAAAAGGTTAAGCTCTGTAATACAGAGTAAAAAGCCGTTTTACATTCAGTTTAATTTCGTTAACATCTAATTACATTAAATAAAATACAGTTTAAAAAATATAATGATATGTATGTGACGAACGGTTACGTCAACTCTAACGGCTAATTTCTGTGAATCAGTCGCTTTTTAAGAATGTTTTTTACATATTAAGTCATTTATATGGAAATTTCTCTCCGCAGCGAACATTTTAACTGGTGCAATATACTTTTTTATACTTTCAAAAATATTCATTTCATTTATTGGCAAGTCGGCATTTCAAATGCGTTTGACCATTTACACTTACTAAATATGGTCGGGATATACATTCTATACTTAAATATTACACATATAACTACACATTTAATTTAATCTTTGAATAATAAATAATCACAAAATATCAAACATGAAGAAAATTTAAACTCACAAAGAAAATAAAATTCAAGGGTTAAATTTCTCAAATTATAAGCTTCCATTATATAAACTTTGCATTTTTTACAATACTAAACAAAAATTAAAACAGCAGGGAATGGCCTTCAAAGCGCCCTCAAAACTACTAAACTTACGTAACACAACTCTGACATGATTCTCGGTAAACATCAGAGGACACTGACCAGTCGCGCGTCGTTTGGTCATGCCGCGTGACATAATATCCTCTGCAGGACACCTGCATCAGCGTCCGAATGAGTTCACGTGACAGGGGTACAAAATGTATCACGTGACGCTTATCCTTATTAAGACTTGTTGTTTTTTCTGGTACTTTAATATACCCAGCAGAACTAAAGTGATAAGATGATTAAGGAAATATTGCTCTTGTTGCTTTTGCCGCTGACCATATTTTCTTGTACAGAAAGTGGAGGATCTGTGCGTTGCTACAGAAGATGGAACGGTATTGCCGCCCATGTTAAAGCTTTAGTAATTTATCAATGGGACGGCGTGTGTCACTTCCCAGATGAAGCAGACAGAATTACACTATACGGGATAGGTCTGGGCTGCGAACAGTGCTTGTTTCCGGTTTCCGGTTGGAATGAAGTCACTGTCAATGGACGCTTATGCAAGGTAAGTGATTAACCATTTTTGAAACAAACTGTTGAGATAATATATGGGAGTAAAAAAATATTACCTACGGACACAACATCCAGTAATTGAAGCGCTGATTATCAAAATCGTCATCTATGTTAATTTTCAAAGTAACTCGATAAGTCAAGAATTTGCGTAAGTATGTTAGTGAAACGATATGAATAATAATATACGGATATTTTACAACATTGAATTCATCAGTACATGTAATCATAACTTCGTGCATCGGTATATTAATAAAGCTGACTGAGATTTTTTTAAAGTTAAAAAGAAAAAATACAAAGACTTACATGAATGTTGTGTTTTCATCCAACTGAACTATGTTATCCATTGTTAAGATAATTTAGGTTTAAAGTTGTAAGTTTAAAGTTATATATACGTCCGTCTGTAAGCTAATTTTAGGTTTAAAGTTATAAGTTTAAAGTTTAAAGATATATATAAGTCTGTCTGTAAGCTATGAATCACAAATCAGCGGTTGCAGAAACAGTGTCACCCTTTCCAGAATCGGACCTATCATTTTGCTGGAATAAGTGCACGTGACATATAAATGGGTGTGGTTTCACATTTCCTTTTCATGAAATCCTTGATTAGTACTCTCACGTAAACTGTCACGTGTCCCGTGATTACGTACCTGTACGTTTTTTTTATGTTCTCCATATATTTTTTCACTTGTTTGCAAATATGTACTTTCTTTTGTTGCAAACTTTTTTCACAGATTAGGTGAGAAATACGTCTTCGGACGACAAAAGACTGTATACACACAGTGTAAGCCAAATGATTATCTAACGAATAAAACTCTTTTATGAATGTATGGCCTTTCAGTGAGAAATACCTTATTTTGGTTCCAAAAAAAAATACTAAGGAAATCACAGTGGCTATGTTTTTGCGAACAAAAAGCTATAATCACAAACTGCAAGCCAATGTTTTAAATATTTTCTTTAGTAAGATATAATTCTTTTCGATTCAAATCTTATTCACGGAAAAATACTAAGGAATTCACACTGGTTATTTTTTTGCGAGAAAAAGTTATAATTACACACTGGAAGTCAATGTTTTAAATATTTTCTTTAGTAAGACATAATTCTTTTTGATTCAAATCTTATTCACGGAAAAATACTAAGGAAATCTCACTGGTTATGTTTTTCGCGAACAAAAAGCTATAATAATACACTGGAAGCCAATGTTTTAAATATTTTCCTTAGTAAGACATAATTCTTTTTGATTCAAAGTTTATTCACGAAAAAATACGAAAGCACACATCTTTGTTGGGAAAATGCCACAAACACTCAATGTAAGCCAGACTATTATTGTGTAACCTCACTTTACAACTTCCCCACCTTCACAAAATGCTAACTTACACATATTTACTGGTGTTATATTCAAATGTAAATGGAAACCGTAATGGTTAAGATGTCTCCAAGAGTTAATTCACATATATATAGAAATCACGTTGTCATACAGAAAAATAAATCAACATTTTTTAATATTCGATCTGCGGATTTAGCTATTTATTCTACACTTTGTTCTGGACATATTACATTAAACGGTGATCGTTTTGTAATAGAAAGCAACTTTAACTGGCCGGTTGGATTCGAATGTGAAAACACTAGATATTCGTGCCGTGTAGTGCTGGACAAAAACGGCGAAATTATAACGGCATTTCTAACAAAATAATAAAATAACGATGTCCGACGATGACAAATTTATCGCCTCATTCTTATTTCCTAATGAAATTTCTACATTTACACCCGCTCCCGACAACATACGTCGTGAGGTACAGAGACTGGAGACGCTTGTGGATTCTGACTATAAATGCCCGCACTGTAATAGGGTATTTTCAAACAAGAGTAATTTAAATAGGCATACTAAAAATATCCATAGCGCAAATCGGCGTCAAACGAGTGCGAGCGCGAATTTAACTTGTGAAAAGTGTGATAAGAGTTTCACCAAAAATTTTAACTTATTACGACATGAAAAGACATGTAAAGGAAAAAAGTCAGAAACGTGCGATGTATGTGAAAAAAGATTTACGAATAAACGCTGCTTAAACAGGCATATGCTACTCAAACATGCATTAACCTGTCCCGTTTGCAAACAGGTTTTCGAAAGCAAGTTAAACCTAAAGACTCATGTTGGAACTCACCTATCAAATGACTTTTTAACTGTAAACCAACTACAAAAGTTACGAAGAATTACTGGGCGGTCTATACTGCTATCTACAGACAAAACATCACAACAACCTGGGACCTCTGGCACTAACCAAAATGTTAATACTACAGCCTCAGCGTCTGTGCCAATTTCCCCTGAACCTGTATTTGACCAGACATCGAGACCTATACATGGAAATGCTGGCATACTGTACACTATTAATCCGACAGGTTTAGCAAGACATTCTATGCTGAACCTGTTTTCAGAAAAGCGAGAAAATCTTATCTGGAACCTTAATACCGCGATTGAAAGGTACGGCCATTGTATGATAATACCTGCATACGTATATTAATCATTAAATCCTTATATATATATATATTTCATTGAATGAAAAAACATTTGCTCCAATTTATGCTGTAAGATTCACCTTTATTCAAATACAATTAATAATGAATTCGTTTAAAGAAGAAAAGATTCAGTTAATTTTCATGATAAAAATTATATTACTGGATTTAGTTTGTTTACAAGAAATGCGTGTGTAACATTGCTCTTTAATAGTTACGTTATAACATTGCAGGTGGAATAGCGTGAGATGGTATATTGCAGTGAGAGCACGAATGTTGAGGTTTGACAACGAAGGAAACATCAGGTACGGCAAATCTTTTCAAATATTTTATTCAAAGTATGTTGTACTGATGTGGAACTAAGCGTCTAATACAAATATATATCTTATATTACAATTACAGCTAAATTTCGATATCTATTTTTTTTTCATCTCGGTGAATTGGCAAAATTATTTTGATAACAGTAATCTTACAACAGTTAAAGATAAATTATCGTTTTTAACGATTATCCGATTTAAATATTAATCCTTTCTACTCTGTCAGCGACTTAATTTTAATAGGTGTTGTATACATAAGCGGATAGCGTTACATTTGAGATGAACTAGTGTGTATCTGGTTTATTTATACGGGGCATAAGTGCTACAAGGCGGTTGTTTTGAGACAACAGAGATTTTAATCTGGTCATGATCTTTTATTTTCCTGTGGCAAATTGTTTGACAAGTCAAACATCTTTTATACCGCTGATTTTATTACAATACAATGGCATTATTCAAAGTATGTTGTACTGATGTGGAACTAAGCGTCTCCCAGCAAACACATGACGTTAAAATAACGTCGGATTAATGTTAGATTTTGGTCATGACGTCGGCGACCAAAATACGACATAAATCTGACGTTAAAATACCGATGTCTAATAGACGTTTCTTTTTGACGTCGTACTAACGTCAGGTTATGGTCGGTGTCCTTACGGTAGGTAAAACAAAATTACAAAAAATAATCCTTATTCGCTGTTGTAACCATTTAAACTTTTTTTCAAATGTTATTTGGATTACAAATGAAGTGTTCTTATATAAATACAGACCAAGATCGCGGCGCTGCAACCTAATAAAACATAAAGGTGGCGCTGTATATACGCAAGTTACATGTGTTATTGTTATGGAATCTATTTATAGCTACAGATCTGTTTACAAGTTCCAATCATTTAACGTTGTAATATTATCATTTGTGGTACATTATATGTATCAAAATGACGTGTTTTTAATAGTGCTTTAACATTTAATCATAGTGACAGAAAAGGGAAAGAAAACATAATTAACCTTTAATTCGAATCTAAAGTCACGTGGATGGAAATTCGTAGGCGTTACGTTTTGGCTGTCGGTCAGGAATCGGGATGCATTGATAAGTGAATATTATAGGTTTTCTTGAACAAAAAGGTCAGTTCAATTTATTTAGATTTATTTCTACTTTGTATTTGATAAATAATTGCATGATTGCAAGCACTCTTAAATTTAATTATCATTATTTGAACAGCTGAAGTAAAATGTCACACAAATTCGCGATAATGTCTAATAATAAATCTTTTTAAAATTGACATGTTTTAACTCTGCTTGTGAAGAGTTTATAATATGCCTTTCAGTACTACCAAAGAGAATGCTAAGTTTTCATATTTTTCTTAAACTGTGATGTTTTTGTCAGTTAAAATCTGAGAATTGAGAATGAATTTGTACGATTTCGAGCATTTCGGACCAAGACGTTTCGGTCCCAAATAACCCAAAACGTTCCGGTCCCAAATAACGCAAGACGTTTTGGTTCCAGATATTTCGGCATTAAATCTTTAATTTAAAACTATGAAATATTTTAGACTTGCTTAACTGTTCTATTTCAAACGTAGAATATATACATAAGTTAGAATATAATTTTCTTTTCAGGGAGTTTAAGTGTTGAACATGCTCTCAAAGGTCGGAGGGACGGAAACACATGAATATGTAAAAAGAAACATATGAAAGTAAGATTTTTGTAAATTCTATTACATACTTTAATCCATACTAAACTGGGAGTTTAAAAGCGGCTTTTTAAATGTTCAGTTTTTATGTTTACTTTTAATTTTTGTTAAAGCTCTCTTATAAAAAGTTGGCAAAATTGTTCATTAAGTTAATATAACCATGAAAACATTTTTGCTTGTTATTTTTACATGTTTCATAAATTTCTTTTTTTTTCAGTGAAAATGATGTCACACACGCTATTGGGCGCTACATATCCTCCGGACAGACGAGGGGTGCTGAAAGAAGGTCATATCTTAAAGCATCACACCTCAAAATTCGTGCTAATTCTCATGGATATCTAAAAGTATAACTTTGTGAAGTAACTAAAAGGCAGCAATTTATACATTACTGACAATTATCAAAGGAGGTCAAAATATGCAAAATGGCACTAAATGTTTTAGAAATGCTGTAGAAATATAGTTAAAGTACTGAAAATCTGTCATTAATTGCTCGAAACATTATTATCAGAATGTTTTAACTTTCCTTAAAATTATAATATTTTCATTGTTTTATTTGATAAGGCAAATTTTGATAGAAATGTGCATACATTGTTTTGTTCTTAAATATTTGTACATGTTTTCTTAGTTTCATTTATGTCATTGTTTTTGTAATACTTTTTGTTTTGTAATTCACTTATTTTATGTTTTATTTTGTTTAATTTATGAAAATTATTTAACCTTGAAGAATTTACTAAAATTGTATGTATCAGCTTAAAATTGCAACTTTTATCTTAAATTAAAAAAAAACATGAAACATATTTTTGCTTTTAGTTTTCTGTTATACATTTCATTTGAGGGAAAGTTACTTAATAGAATGAGTTACATTAAATAAGATCAAATCAGGATTAGCCAGAAAATATTTATGACGTGGTGAAACAAAAAAAGATTAGGGGAATGATAAGATGAAGGTCAGAAAATGATCAGATCTAGGGCAGAAAAGGGTTAATATTTAGGTCGGAAAATGGTCAGATTGAGGTCGGAAAATGGTTAGAAACTGGTTAGATTTAGGTCTGAAAATGGTCAGATTGAGGTCGGAAAATGGTCAGATTGAGGTCGGAAAATGGTTAGATAATGGTCAGATTTTGGTCATAAAAAGGTTAAATAATGGTTAGATTCTGACGTCTACCTGACGTCAGATTATTACGTCAAAAAAACTTTCAAATCCAACCGTTTTTCCGACCGTCATCCGACGTCAGAACCTAACTTAAATCTGACGTCAGTATGACGTCTTGTGTTTGCTGGGCTATTACAAATATAAATCTTAATTGCAATTACAGCTAAATTTCGATATCTATTTTATTTTCATCTCGGTGAATTGGCAAAATTATTTTGATAACAGTAATCTTACAACAGTTAAAGGTACATTATCGTTTTTAACGATTATCCGATTTAAATATTAATCCTATCTACTCTGTCAGCGACTTACTTTTAATAGGTGTTGTATACATAAGCGGATAGCGTTACATTTGATAATGTTTTAAAACGATGAACTATTGTGTATCTGGTTTATTTATACGGGGCATAAGTGCTACCAGATGGTTGTTTTTAGACAACAGAGATTTTAATCTGGTCATGATCTTTTATTTTCCTGTGGCAAATTGTTTGACAAGTCAAACATCTTTTATACCGCTGATTTTATAACAATACAATGGCATAATGTTTTGACAAACATTGTCATTACACTAACATATAAAAGAATAATATGATTAACATGTTTTTGAAACATGGTACTGCTACTTTAATATTTTTTTTTCAACAGGGATGAAGAGCGTCCGACATTTCGCTCGTCAGCACAGATACTGCTTGACAGTGACAGGATCGAGTTTCAAATTGACCAGGCCTTTTTCAAAGTGAACTTGTCGCTAGAATCGTTCTGTTCATCCGCAAGCGGGTGGATGTTAGAAGAAATTCTTTACATGGAACAGTTTATATTTCGATATGCCCCTTTAGGTGGCAACTGTGGCGACTTATCGTTACCTGCGCGCCTATCAAACACAAGGGCTCTTATAACAGTCACGGGGAGACCAGCTAACACAAAGGATTGTTTTGTGTGGTCCGTAGTTGCTGCTTTACACCATGACCCAGAACTACACACCGGATCAGTCCATTGGACCTGCTTTGAAGAATATCGAACACTTTACAGAATACCCGAGAGCATGAAGACTGATGAAACGGTCACAATAGTGCAAATACCAGACTTTGAGAAATTAAACAAGGTCTCGGTTAATGTGTTTGCGTACGATCGTAATGTGATATTTCCACTCTATGTTTCAACATTTAAGGGCGCCAGGGGTCATGCTGACCTGCTGTTGATAACCGTACTAAATGAAGAGACAGGTGATAGTTTGAAGCATTTTTGTGCCATTACTGACCTTGGGCGACTTGTGAGGAAACAGCAAGAAAAAACACATAAAACATACGTATGCCCAAGATGCCTAACCACCAAGTACTCCGAGTCTGATCTACAAAAACACAAAGAACTATGCATGTTGGTCGATCCGCTCCATGTGAAAATGCCAGAGGCAGGAGGGTCATTTGTAGAGTTCAGAAACTACACGAAACAACTCGAAATGCCATTCTTAATTGTTGCCAGATTTGAATGCTTCCGTCGACCAATACTGGACCTCCGTGAACCTACAGAAGGAGTGACTGTAAGGGAAAGGTTCCACGAACCTTGTGCTCTCGCTTATTACAGAGTCAGTGTTGATGACAGTCATCCATCAAGTCCAGTTTTTTTCACGGATGACTCTCCGGAGACAGTGATGAACGAATTTCTGCGATGTATGCAACGAGAACAGGCAGCTGCTATGGAAATCATGAAAACAGTCAAACCGATGGTGTACTGTGATGAGGGCATCAGAAATATCGAAGCTTCAAATGATAACTGTCATATATGTGGGGATGCTTTTGTACCTGATCAAAAGGTGGTACTTGACCATGATCACATCAGTGGAAAGATCCGGGGAAGAGCCTGTCTTGGGTGTAACCTGAACTTTAGACTACCCAATCACATAGTCATTGTCCTTAACGATCTGTCAGCTTATGATGGAAGAATCGTACTGAGCGCAGCCGGCATACACGGCACTGCAAATATACGTGTCATTCCAAAGTCAATTGACACATATGCGGGCATTATGATAGATAAATGTCGCTTCATCGACTTTCAAAGTTTCTTTAAAGAACCTCTCGACAATTTGATAAAAGACTTTTGCACTGAAGAAGGGGATCGTAACTGCCTGGAACACACTAAAAGACACTGGCCAGTTACGCCCCGACCTTCAGACCTCATGCGCATACCACTGTGCAGAGACTTTTTGCGCGGACCAGAAGATCTGCATGCAACAGCTCTACCACCTATAGAAATGTTCGCAGATGAATTAGAGGGTTCTGCTTTGTCGGAAGAGGAATATAATATTGTTTCTGACACATGGAGCAGTCTCTCAAATAGGTGTATGCAAGAGCTATTGAAAGTGGCATTGATAACGGACTGTCTGTTCACTAGCGATATCATACAAATCTTTAGAAAAAATGTCCGGAAAGATCTGAAACTCGATCCTGTGCGATACTTCACACTAGCAAGTTTCGCGTGGGACTGTGCCCTCCGTTACTCGGAGACGAAACTTCAACTGCAAACTTCATTAGAGGCACACCTTATGATAGAAAATGCTATAAGGGGTATGTCAGTTTTTATCAAAATAAATAATAACAAATAAAAATTAACAAGATAAGCTGTAATTAATGCAATAAATGCACTGTAAGAGATAAATATAATAAATAATGAAATTTTTGCTTTTGATAAAAAATAACAAGATAGGCTGTAATTAATGCAATAAATGCACTCTAAGAGATAAACATAATAAATAATGAATTTTCTTGCTTTTGATAAAAATTAACAAGATAAGCTGTAATTAATGCAATAAATGCACTATAAGAATGAATAATGAAAAAGGAATGCACGTAATAAAAATAAAAAAGGAATGCACAATGCTTAGTGATATAACTAATGGGGATTAATATTAAAATGAATTTGTTTTCAGGTGGAATTGCAGTAACTGGTAACCCGAGATACTCCGTGGCTAACAACAAAGATATGCCCGCTGGCATGTACAACGAGACTGAAGAAACCAGTTACATAGACTTTCTGGACTTTAATGGTCTCTACACATTAATTATGTCGTCAGCGCGCCTCCCTGCGTATGGATTTAGATTTCTGACGGACTATGAACTGGAAAGGTTTGACTTCAGTGATATCCCGGCTGATAGTGACCACGGTTATATCCTTGAGGTTGACTTGTCTTATCCGGCAGAACTTCATGACCGAACTTGACAGTATGTATAGTCACTATAATTACAATTATTATTTCTGAAACGCTTATAATATATATTGTGAATAAAATACGGTCAATCAATTAAGTATCGATCTGATAAAATGAAATGTATTATTCTTGAACCTTAAGGCATCCCGCGTTAAGCCACCAAAAAAACATATCAAACAAAGCAATCGTCATTGCATATACTATTCTATAACAATAGCAGCGGCCAAATATATGTACTCTACCTTAATTTCAGGTTTCCCTATGGCTCCAGAAAAGATAAATCTGTGCAAGGAAGACATATCACCATACACGATCAATACTGCTGCGGAGGCTGGAATAAATCTTGACAACGTTTGCACAGAACAGCGTCTGTGTTTAACGCTAAAGGATAAAAAGTCATACACTCTCCATTACCTAAATCTTCAATTTTACACCAAATATGGACTGCAGGTAACAAAAATACACAGGGTGCTAACATTTGTCCAGACGCCATTCTTACATAGTTACATGCAGTATTGTGGGGACAAGAGAAAAGAAGCTTTGTCACCAGTTCACAAGACTCTATGGAAGAATCTGTGCAATCTCGTCTGTGGTAATTGATCAACTTATTCATTTATCCTATTTATTTATCTTTAATTATCTACTTATTTTGATTAATAAATTCACTTATCTTTTTCTTTATAAATCATTTTTTCATTTTTATCAATACCTATTTAACAATTAAGCTGGTGAAATATTGAATTAATAAATAAAGAATAGGCATGTCACTTTATTTGCCCGCTTTATTTAAAGTGATTGTTCATTTAATATACGATTTATAGTTTATAACGTGACTTCACTTTTGCTCTTTGAATTAGATAGTTCTCACATTAATGTTTTAGTTTTTGATCACATAATTAAATAAAGACATTTTCAATGTTGCTATTTTTCAGGTAAAAGCTATGAAAATCCGAGAAATTACAAGGACATACGGATTTGTAACAGTGAGAGCAGTTTGTTGAAACTGGTGGCAAAACCTTCCTTTGACTGTCTGCGCATCCTTGACGACAATCTGACAGCTGTACAAATGCATAGAACACAAGTCGTACTAAACAAACCGATTGCCGTGGGCTTTGCTATACTGGAGCTATCAAAACTCTTGGTTTATAGCTTTTATTATGACTTTGTTAAAAAGAAGCTAGCAAAAGATGCCTCTGTTTCATTCCTGGCTGGTGACACGGACAGTCTTGTTCTGAAAATATCTGGAGTCGGAGACCTGACAAATAGGTATAAAACCTACAAAAGCCTATTCGATTTCTCGAACTTACCACCTGGACATCCGTTATATGACAATGAAAATAAAATGATCCCGGGTAAAGTGAAATTTGAGAGACCCGGTGAAATTGGTCTAGAGTTCATCTCTCTGTCCCCAAAGTGCTACTCGTTAAAAACAGACAAGGGGTATAAGCAAGCGCGGAAGGGTAGCTCGAAAGAAATTAAACATGAAATTTACAAAAAATGCCTGACTGAAAACAACTGTCACAGGGAAAATGTGAACGAAATACGACATTATAATCAAAAGCTTTATCGGGTGTCTGTTAACAAGCGAGTGCTCAACATATTGGACTTTAAAAGACACCACTTCGACGCACTCACCTCGGTTAGCTTTGGTCATTATTCTTTGAACCAGGTGTAAAAACAAACTACACTGAATGACAACATCATTTTGTATTATACATTTATTGTGCACTAAATGACACCATACTGAACTATGTTTACATTCACAATGTATTTAATATGTAAATAAACAGATTTGCCATTTATTGAGTAGTATTTGTATATTTGTTTCATATCTAACGGTTTACGACGGTAAAATTGCCGTGTTCCAACAAATGTTTCGACATGGAATTATTTGTACGATAATAATAGTATATCATTTGAATTGAACAAATAAATGTTGATTTTAAGCTTAAAGCGACAAAGAAAGTACCTGAACCATTTTACTTGTTTCAGTACTATGCGTCAATTTAAACACTTTAAGAATTTAAGCAAATATATATAGTACAATCTCACACATTTCATTGTAAAGTACTATATAAATTATCAAGTAGTAAACAAACAAATAATACACTACGAATTATCTGTTTCTTATCCAATTAATCCAGTGGCATTAGATACTGAAATAAAATGTATCAGATAGTTTAAATAAAAATCAATGTATAAGAAGGTCCAGAATAATTATGAGCGTTATATTAAATCACAGCAGCTGTTGTTTTCATCGCTTTAACGGTATATCAATTCAATTTAAGTGCCGGAAACGGCAATAAGGACTGTCCATATTGTAAACACTGTAATATCCTAGCCTACATGGTATTAGTATGAAAGCCACTTTGATCGTTTATTTTTCGGTGGCTCCGTAGGACCGCTTTTCAAATCAGTTGCAGATCTAGGCTTTTTTCTTGGTTTCATTAAGTGTTTAGGCACGTTGATTTGGTTCAGCGCTGTTTTAAAATACTCAAAATCATCTGGAGGGTCCTTTGTCCCTTTACTTACTATAGAACTGTATATGTAATCTGTGAGACTTGAATTCATTTTTCTCCCGTGAATTCGCAGAATGGCTGGTGTGTTCACTTGGAAGACATTTTTTCCGAAGTTCATTATGTAGAGCAACAGTGATATAGCCCTTTCTTTGAAAAACTTTGGAAAAGTGTAGGTTATAATTCTTGTGAAGTGATCGGTGACTGATTGTTGGTTTTCAGCTGTAGGCAAACTTGAGTCAGATTCATAAGTTTTTCCCCTGGCGGCAGTGGCAGCTGCAACTTCATTCAAATTTCGAGGAGCTGCTGGTGAAGAAATCGAAAACATTTCTGTCTTCTTCTGGTCTTTTTTTTCTGGCGTCTCTTTGTGTTGTTGATGCTGATGTTCCTGGTATTGCTTCTGAATCAGCTGCTGATATCGATATGCCGGTATCAGTATCAGTTTCCGAAAGCCCTTCTCCGTCCCCGCTTGCATTTGCATTCACTATTGCAGACTTCTGTGGTTGACCACTGTCCTCGTCACTTGACGAAGATGAATCGCTTTCAGAATATTCCTTGTCGAAATGCTTCAGAAATGCCGTCACTAAATTTGCTATACAAGTAGCGTATCTCTACATTTACTCTCTCTTCTTATTATTATCAACAGACTTCACTGCAAGTCTTCTCAATATGTTCTTGTGTTTGCTTAGAGCTAAAAAGTCCTCGTCCGAAATTTCAATGTTTCCGTGCAACAGGTTAAGGCAAACTTCAGATATAACTTGTACCTGCTCCCTGGAAAGACAGCGGAGAAGTTGCTTTCTTTGACTCGGTACAGCAACAGCCAAATATCGCAAAAAGTCAATATGGCGGGCAATTTGGTACATCACGCACTCATTTGAATGTTGCCAGTATATAATTTGCTTCAAAAATATCACACCTGCCGTTTAATCTGCTATAAATAATATCCAGAGCAAACTAATTACTCAAGTTCGTATATCACTGGTAATTGTCCGGGTAACACGTTCGATCGCAGTTTATAATCGGAATGTGTACTCTGTGGACTGAGATCAATTATTAAAGGACTATACTGTGCAAATTTGCATTAAAGTGGATTTGACGATCAATTTAGAACAGCAATCACAGATAACAAATGGAATTCATTATCTCAGTCCATTTGAATAAATTTCCGTAATACATAATGGTTAAATACAAAACAAAATGGCGGTGTCAGTATTTTAATCTTTTGTCTCCGCTAAAACGAAATTTTATAGGGTACGTACGCACTGTTGCATTTTTGTAAAACAACATAAATGTGCCCGGATGTAACTCATTTTCGTTCGCCGCCATTTTTTTTTTCGTTTACTGCTTGCCAAAAATGTGACTCTAATTGGTCTATTCAATACAAAAAAAACTATGATAGCATTCATTGTGCGATCGACGCTTCTTTTCCAACTGTCTGTTTTCATCCGTGTTTCCTTGTAATCTCGGCATCGTAATTTAAGCATTAACATATCAAGTACAGACCGTTCGAACTCTTTGCACGCTTGTGATCTGTACCACTTCTAAATTTCCGCCTCTTCGTCCATAACTCCGATAATGTCCCAGAAATGAACATTCAGTTTGCTGCCGCGGTCAAGCATTGTGCACGAATGATCACGCTGAGACAGGTAGTTATTTTTGCAGCCAAAGCACAACAAACGCGAGATATTTTCAAACTTTTTTACAATAGCTTTCGCGTAATGTATCTGCAGCGAAAACTCGAGTGAGCAGACGACACGTACTGTGCTGCTGTCCAACTTTTGATTTGTCTGCTGCTGTAAGCTCCATACTGTGTGACAGTGTTCTAATAATGACAAGTCATTTTACGGCCAGCTAGCTCACTTTTGCCAAGGCCATGTACTAGTATCCCCTGGCAGACAGACAATATACATTAGCGTGCTAATTGTTGTTTGGATGTGTCTTGAAAAAACATTTCAATAGGTCAGGGTATCGTATTGTAACACGGCCAGCGATTGGCTGAAAAAAAGTGCAGGGAAAACCGTATGATTCAGTTTATACATGAGGCGATTGGATGAAAGTGGGGTATTTTTAAGTATAAAAACTAATTTAAAAAGTAACACTACAATGTTTTCTGAAGAAAATGAAATATTTCATGAGTCTCTGTGATAATTTTGACTTGGATATTTGCATTTATAAAAAGTGTATGTCAGTCCTGTGATCAGCAGAAAATTTCAATGAAATGGGGGGTAATCCTCTTTGAAGTCAATTTGCAAAAAATTTGGTTGGCTACCCCTATATAACAGGAACATTTTTATGTGTCAGGCATTTCATTCTGCTAGAAAAAATACCTCTTTAGCATGAAAACTGAATTTTAAGGTAGGATAAGGGACCATTTCTTATAATGTAAGTCTATGGAAATATCAATGTGAGTGTCTGACCTAAAGAGAAGGAAATTGGAACTGTCATAATTCACAGTAGAACTTTGTCTTCATTGATTACACCATGAAAAGCTGATATTTTGGAAGAATGGATGTATACAGCCTGTCTAGGTATGATATTTCATTATTTCAGTGCAACTGTTGGTGTTTACAGCAGATAATGTGTCAAAGGGGTCAATCTACAAGCATTGTTTACATATGAACAAGAGTATTAGTGTTACATAAGAGTTAATAATGGTTTATATTTTCTTTGAACAGTGAATTTGAGTGATAATCAATTGGTGATATGTTGATGATGAATAATGTAGACCTTGGTCATTAAAAATATTTTTCAGATTTCAAAGAAATGCTGTACATTGGCTATACACATGCCAGGTTTGAAGACTTCATGTATAACTTGACAGGACCTGATGTAAGCACATTGGCCACTTTTGATGGTAGTTGCAGGTATATCATTACAAATGCATATTGTCAGGTTCCAAAACTGATATATAATAATTAAAAAAGTTTAGGGTGCTGTTTCGATTAACTTTTCGACTTTATTTAGGGGCGGAAATTTCTTCGCTCGGCACTAATTTTTACCATTTTGCTCAAATATTTAAATAGAATGTCACAAATAAATTGCTTCTTTGTCTGTTTCCTATATAAGAATGTTTTGTGTTTCATTTCCAGGCATAGATAGCATTAAAGCTTCAAATAAATAGCATTTTAAGGCTTCTGTCTTAAAATTTACTTGGTTTCAGGGCATGAATATCAACACATACTTAGAAATTGAAATCCATTGAAAAATGTAGCATAATTCAGTTAGGTTGCCTCTGAATAGCCTCTTATTATGTGGTTAAGATGCAAAATAGTGATAAGAATTTCTTGTTTTCTATTTGGTAATACATATTTACACACTCACAATTGTATAATGCCATAGTTTTTAGACTTTATGTCTGTTTAATGCATAATTGAATGTGCATCATAATGGCCAAGGGTAGAATTATTTTGTAGAAAAGTTTTATTGATAAGTAAAAGTTGATCTACTTTTTCACAATCATATCAGGCACAATAATAACACAGCTTTAGTGTCTGTGATGTGTCTATAAACAGAAAAAGCACTTATTCTGGTAGATAATTGTATAAAAAGGGTGTGATTATGCACAACTTCAGTGAATTACCTCCCTTTATTTATTGAGAAACTTAGATAAGTGCATAAATTCTAGTTTCTGGCTAGCTAAATGAGAAAAAGATACACATTACTGTCCATTCCAAGTACATTTTGGTCTGAAGAGGTGATTTAAATGTTAAAACACCTGAAAGAAGGTTTCAGTTGTCATATTTGACTCCAAATGAATGCAAAAATGACCAAAAAATGGGTGTAGAAGTCAAATTTTAGGCTTTTACTGTGCTGTTAAATTCAGAGGAACTTGGTTTTTCCATATATATTGCATTTCTTTATATCCATGTAAGAGAGAGACAAAAAATATAAAAAGAATTTTGGCATTTTATTGACATTTAGGCTTGTATTTAAGACTATATATGCAAATATTTGGAGTAGAAAAATATAGCAGGGCAGTTTTGAAATACCTAGTTACACCCAAAATGTTGCTATGTGTGTACAAATAATGTGTAATCCATAATCAGGTCATTATACAGTAGTTATTAAGTATGTTTGCTAAGCTAAATCTTCATTCAGGAAGTCTATTGGTAATAAAATGTTGAAATTTGGGTGAAAAATCACTTATTTTGGTATGGGTGGGGTGATAAAATTGCTCCCTGCTGCATCCTTTTGTTACAAAATTAGTATTTTGAAGCACTTCTGTAATGAGAACAGTGTAGTTTTGCTATCTGTGTGATTTTATGGAAGTTGTTACAAAATTGGCTTCAGAATAATGAGTTAAGTATAAAAATCACATGCTAAAATTCATTTTCAGAATATCCGGAATGCGGCATAACGGCGCTTGTTGCAAAAAAGGGAACTTCAAAGTTTTAAATGACTTAAGAGTGGTGAAAATGCATCCACATTATTGGTAATTGTATATGCAACTTCATTTATTATTAGATTTTAGAATACTAAACATTTAATAATCCCTTTAGGTCAGGGTATCGTATTGTAACACGGCCAGCGATTGGCTGAAAAAAAGTGCAGGGAAAACCGTATGATTCAGTTTATACATGAGGCGATTGGATGAAAGTGGGGTATTTTTAAGTATAAAAACTAATTTAAAAAGTAACACTACAATGTTTTCTGAAGAAAATGAAATATTTCATGAGTCTCTGTGATAATTTTGACTTGGATATTTGCATTTATAAAAAGTGTATGTCAGTCCTGTGATCAGCAGAAAATTTCAATGAAATGGGGGGTAATCCTCTTTGAAGTCAATTTGCAAAAAATTTGGTTGGCTACCCCTATATAACAGGAACATTTTTATGTGTCAGGCATTTCATTCTGCTAGAAAAAATACCTCTTTAGCATGAAAACTGAATTTTAAGGTAGGATAAGGGACCATTTCTTATAATGTAAGTCAATGGAAATATCAATGTGAGTGTCTGACCAATACATACCGTCTAATGCCTCCATTCAATCTCGACCGAACTGTTTGCTTATTAAACACTCCGCCATCTTTGATGGCACTTTAAAGCTATACTTATTTTTTTAAGGGATAATAATCTCCCTTTCAAATGGGATTAGCAAATGTGATTAAAAATAAGTTGTGTATTCGTATTTGTATGTTAATTGTATTTTAATTGTATTGTTATTGTATTGTTATTGTATTGTTATCGTATTGTTATTGTATTACGTAACTAATCCTTAATCGATTACGTAACTAATCCCCGATCCCGATCCT